TTCAGGAGAATCTCGCTTTTGTAATCTCGTGAGAAGTCTCTGTCTGTCTGTCTGTCTCTCTCTCTTTCTCTCTCTCTCTATCACTCTCTCTCTCTCTCTCCTCTAGTTTCCGATCTATCAAATTGTCTCTGTTTCGCGTATTTTCATTAACTGCTAAGAAATTCCTAAGCTAATTGTCGAAAAGGGTCAAAGACACTTCACAACGCTCAACTTTATCGCGAATGTTCACCTTTAATAGAAAGTTTACAGAGTAAAACTGTTTTCAACAATTTTCTCCATATTGTACGTTTAAAGTTGTAAAAGTTTTGACTTTGATAAAAAGCCCTGAAGGTAGTTGAAACGGAATTTGTTTGAATTTTTTGTATTTTTCTCAAAACACCTCGCCGAACTGTTGTTGTGTAAGGCAGGAAGGAAGCGTCAAGTTGTGGAAAACGGATTAAAAGTTTCTTTTCCAAGGTTTTTCTGCCACAAGGCCAATGGAAAGTACAAACTTTCCCGAATGCGGACAAATTAAATGAAATTCCATCGACGATCTAACCTGCAATATTTTTAATATGCAATAGTACAATGTACAGAAATGTGAAACAGTAAATTTTTTTTTTTTCTTTAGTTTGTTTAACTCCCTTCGCCCTATGTGGCCAAATTTGAGTGGTAAATTTTTATGAAAGATATCAAATCTACGTGAAAAATTGCATTTGATCACTTGAATCATATCCTGAATAAGAGTTCCGATATTTTCTCCTTTTAAAGCTATATCAATCAAAACGTAAAAAATCATTTTAACAACTGATAAATAGATTAACTGTTTTCACACGTTGCAAAGCGCCAGACGTAACAAGTTACATATTTCAAGTAGCACATTGAGATTAAATACGAAAAATCTAGTGGAGAAGTTATACCGTAGCACTCCTAAATCATTGATTCATTTAACGCACTCGACTGAGAGCAGGTCACCGGAGCAACTTAAGATGTCGAGGATTATTGGGAAAAGATTGGAAGGAGAGTTGTACGTGAGGATTATAGTGAGAATGCAAGATAGTCGCTTCTCTATCTACACTGAGTAGCCAAAAAAGTGGCCACCCTGGGTTTTTTAGTAAACACTTGCAACCGTTATAATTTATATTTTTTGTTGTTTACTGTATATTTTAAAAGGAAAATAAAAGATATAGGTAATAAAAAATTATAATGGGTAAACCCATTTTACCAAAAATGTTCTATGGAAACAATGAAGTAAATATTCAATTCAGTACGGAGTATTTCCTTCTCTTGCGATGATCAACGCTTTCGTTCGACATGGCATCGATTTTATGAGGTTTAAATGTAGTGCTGTGGAATATTTTCACACTCCTCCAACAGCGCCATTCTTAATTACAGCAAATTCTCTGGCATCACTGGGCGACTTTTTACCCTCTTTGACAACAAGAGCCAAATGATAGGGCTTAAGTCGGGACCTATGAACATGCTGGCCACTCCAAACATTGAATTGCAGCCCGTTCCAAATATTCACTAACGATCATAGCTGTGTGGAGCCTACCATAAAAATACCGTCACCAAATACTGTCATATAAGGAACAACTTCTTTTGATAACACATCTTCAATGTATGAGCGCAGCTGTTAGGAAAACCACGATGAAGATCAAGTTAGTGCGACCTTCCACAGAAATGCTTGCCCAAACCATAACACCACCACAACCACAGCTTCTTTTACAGAATGAAAACGTCGCTGGATATATCACTCTACTGTTCTTCTCCAAACCTTCTCTCGGCCGTCAGAAGACCTCAAATAAAACCTTGACTCATCCGAAAACAAGATTTTTGTCCAATTGATTCAGATCAATTGATGTGATTTCTTGCAAAACTTAACTGAGCTGTTCTGAATCTTGTCGGACGTTCAGGACCAGTGGCAGGCCTTCTCGCACGTAATCCAGTATCTTGGTAGTGATGGACCCGTCGGATAGTTGTTCTTGGAGTTTTAAGCACCCTGGCCACATACGCTTCACTTCTTCTATCTTCCACTAATTCTATGATTCTAGCGGAAACTGTATCACTTAAAACCATCACTCAAACAAATTTGAAACTTAAAAATGGTACACTCAAAAAATCAAACCACTGGAACGTTAGAAAGAAGCTTTACTGGAAAATCAACAAAGAAGAGATTGACTATTCAAAGAATTATTTACAAAATCCAATTGTAAACACAAGTGAGAGATTTTATCGGTATTATATCCACCTCTAATCCTTTAAACCGGACCAAATATTGTTGTAAGATAATCAGTGGAGGATTGTCCAAGAGATAATTCAAAATATTAAGAGGCGACATATTTTTTTAATTTTTTTTTTTTGCCATTTCTGGTAAGAAGGGGATGGGGTTACAATGGATTGTAAATAGTGGGGAAGGAGGATGAAGGTTTTTGGGACTTTCAGTTTGATTTGCTATTGTTTTAACCATTGTTCAATGAAAGATAGGTGTTTCGAGGATTCAGTGAGTTATAACAGGATCGGAGTTGAAGGATCGCATGGGAATATGTACTGAGTATAATCACAGCCGAGGACGAAACCTTGAGGATCGCCTAGGAGGATGAGAAGACTCTTACTCTCAAGTCCAAAGTGCCTGTCGGCCAGGTAGGACTTAAAGACTAGAAAGTGTGCATAGGGTTCCCTTGGGTTTCAAGATCAAATCCAAGTGCTAAACTCGTTCAAAAGCCTTCGAGATCGAGGAGACTTTTTCTGCAGTTGGAAAAAAATAGTACGTGAGGATTAGAGTGAGATTGGAGGTTAGGGTGGAATTTTGTAGCAGGATCTTTTCTAAAAGGAACATTTAGGTCTGTATGGATGGTGCAGCTGGAAACATAGAACAAGTAGTTGACGATAGATCTAAGGATTCGTTGTGTGTATTGTCAGGATTCTGTGGAGAAGGTTTGGTTGAAACCCTTAGGTCTTAGTTGCTGTATGTCTATGTTGGTTACAACATTGAGTTGTACATGAGTAGTTTGGTGTCGTGGGGATTGCAGGTCAGTCGCTACAAAATTGCGGATGAAATTTTTGGTAGGAAAGGGGGTGAGGTTTATAGTAGATTGTAGGTATTGTGGGCAGAAGGTGAAGGTTATGTTTTGGGATTTTCTGGTGTTGAGTTTGATATGCTATTTTTTGAACTATTGTCCAATAAAATATAGGTGCTTGGAGGGTTTGGTATCATATACAGCAGTATGACTACAATAACGTACCGAGGCCGTATCCTTGAGGGACACCAAGGAGGGTGAGACTCACACTCATACTCTCAAGCCCAAAGTACCTGTCGGCCAGATAAGGTTTAAAGACGAGGAAGTATGCAGAGGGTTCCGTTGGGATCCAGATCAAACCCAGATGTCGACAAAAAGCCTTCGACTTACAAAGAAACCACCGATCAGCATTCCTTCTCAAGTTAGGATGAGAGATGTCCACGACAGGACGCCGAAATCCAAATTGTTTTCGGATCAAAATTAGAAAATTCGAGTAAGGTGAGTATTTGCTTACAAGGTAATTTTTTAAGGATTTTACCAAGAATTGGCAGAGGAAACATGGAAAAAAGCATACCAAAGGAGTTGGTTGCACGAAGATGCTATATCAGTTTTACCATTTGTTGCCTGTTTTTGAAGAAAATACGAATGATTAAGCTCTCAGACAATCCATATCTTACTAACTTCTTTATTAAAACATGTAGAACCGAATGAAACGCCATACTACGAAATACAAAAACAACACGAGTCTATAACGTCCTTCTTCAAAACATTTCAAAGTGTGGTTAAATATAGCATATATTGATAGGCAGATAAATAGCACAGAATACATAGCGGTAATTAACTCAGTCCGTTTCATTTTTCTAATTTCCTAGGAGTGCCAGGAAGACCCCTAAGCAAATCCTTCATTCCTACCGAACCGAGCGATTCTACAAAGCCCGTCAAGGAGGACAAGGAGTCCTCCAGCCAGCGGCTTACGACCCCCAACACTCCACTATCCGGACGGTGCGTAACGTCAGACGTTTGACCACGTGTGGCATGGAGGCCTCCTGTACAAACTAAAGAAATCCTTACAAATACTTTTTACTTATCTTTCGTTCCTACCTAACCGAACTGTTCTTTAGAGTACGCCAAGTATCGGCCTTCCCCAATTATTGTCCTCTGTGGGTGGGAGTGCCACTTTGACTACTTTGACCAATCCTTTACCTCTTCTACATCGTACATATCTCCACTTCACCCTCAACCATCCTTTGCAGACGACACAGCTATGCTCCGATACCCATCCCGATACTTCGAAAGAGCACCAGGCGACCTGCAAATTGCCGAATACAGCAAACACTGGCAGATAAAACTTAATGAAACAAAAGAACCCATGTTCCACTTCGAGGGAAAACCCATCATGTTCCCAATATTCCTTAATATCCCATTCAAAAACTGCATCCTTTCCACCAGGAGCCAACACACACGACTAAAACGATAGGAATTAAATAAACGTTTTGGACTACTCTGTAGATTACTGGCAAATCTAACGTTTCAACCAAAACTATCTACAAGAAAATATTAAAACTAATCTGGACGTAAGGACTACAACTTTGGGGCACCGCTAAACCTTCCAGCATCCGAATAAGTACATCCAATCCATTACATTAAGTAGTACATCCATTAAGTACATCCATCCAAGTCATCAGAACCCATAGTCAATGCTCCTTACTACACAATGACTTCCTCAATTAATAACCTCAAAATCCCCCCCCCCAAGCAAACAGTAATCAATAAACCATTTTACACTTTACATTGCAAAATAAAATTTGCTTTCCATTACTCAGGAATACATAATAAACAGCACCTACGTTGGAAACGACATTATTTACGTAGGCTTTTTGTTCATTGTTCATTTTCGTACACTGTAATATGTGAACTGTATTGTAGTACCTACTCAAATGGAATATGAGAAGCAGGCATTTTAAATAAACGCTTTTTACATGTAAAAATGTTTATGCTTACCTTTATTTAGCCACCGCTGAGTTGGCTCCACCTGTAAATAAATGGATCACGTTAGTTATAGCAATATTCGTGATAATTATGTAAGACGTTATGACCCAATGAAATGAACTTTTAAAATTCATGGGTTGATGATTGAAATCGACATTTAATACATTTTAAAATGCAAGCGTACACTGTCGAGAATGTGATACCGGATACGTGTATGAGAAAGAGGGTCCGCGGCGTCCGACTCGCATAAGCCACGCTAGCGTCCTCGGTGTTCGAATCCCTTAACCGCGTTTTAATTGAAACCCATGGCGTTTTAATTGAGAATAGTATGAAAAACGTATGATTGTGGTTTGACCCCTTTGATCGACACCACAAAGTTGGACGTTACCCCACTTGTATGAAAGGATTTAATATACTTTTGTGGCCGCGGTGGCCGAGTGTTTCGGGGCGTCCGACTCTATTTGCCAGCCAACCAACCTAGCTGTTCGAATCAGGTCGTTCCCTTTGAGTTTTCTTTGAGAATCAGCAAATAGACAACTTGTATATAATACAAACTAACAGTCTTATATTATTGTTCACAATGTCGTAAGATAAAAAGGCAAATATTCTTATTTCATTAGGAAACTTGCCAAAGTAACAATGTCAACAAGCTACAACAACAACGCTAATTAAAAACAAAAGGGGTTATGATGGATTAATATGGATACTAGTAAGTGTGGGTTTATGTTACCCAAACACTGCAGTCTAGCTTATTGACTTCCGTAGTTCCTTAGTTTAGTCTGTCGATTCGATCCTTCTTTTAAGAAGTACTAGGTCATTGGTATCGCAAGATTATGCCTCTATTGAACAGTTGCTTCGTATTCGAAGATGATATGAGTGACTCTTCCTCCTCATTGCATAACGTACAAATAGGGTCCTCATTGAATATACTTATATTATGTAGATGTTTTCTCACATTCCAGTGACCGATAAATAGTTTCACTTTTCTGATTTTAGCCCTCTCTAGCTTTAAAAGGCTTTCTGTCGACGCATCCCTTCGAGTCGAGTAGAAAAGGAAACGGAATAACGTCGAACTTGGATAAGAATGGAACGAACCAGCGGACACACGACCCTAGTTTTGTCGCGAGGTATAATAATTGATGGGGTCTATATTTCGCAAACTTGATCTTATTAAAACCGAGGGTTTTCGCGTGGGAAAACACGCCTCCACGGTTCGTTATTTGGATCGATTTGAACATGACCTCGAGGAAAATTCGACGGATGGATTCGGAGGGTAATTGTTTGTTTAATTGTAAGAGGGGTCGTCCCCTGGGGGTTTTCACCTTGAGTCTGACGTCATCCCCTTTCCTTCGATTCGTCGGAAAGCGAAAGCTGTCTTAGTCCGAAGACAAAATCCCACGTGCTATTGCTTAACATGACAAACGGTCGGACTCCCTGCCGAACGGACGGACGTCGCTTCAAATCCTTATCTAGACGTTTGACCCTCTCGGCCGACGGCGACCCTCGTTCTATTGAGTTAAAGACCACGGGTCAACTTCACAGGCTCAACTTCAGCCTTAGTGCTTTAAAATGGCCGATGATATTGAGTTAATTCCGTCTTTACACTACTCCGGGCTTAATTCTATAAACGCCGTGGGCAAAAAAGGATTTATCGAATGGGCTAGATGGAATTACAACGTATTTTCTTCAAAGGCCATTATCAGAAAAACAGGAATAGACTCCTATACTCCAGTCGTATACTTTTTTTACGTATACAATACGTTTTGCTGGAGGTTAGGCTCAACCTCTCTTTTCGATCGGACCGGTCAACCTAGCTTGTTTGATCCGCAAGGAAATTAAAGTGTGAGACAGAGGGAAAAACTTGTAACTTGATTATGAAACCCAAGGAATTTTGGGTAAGACAATCTGGCCAGAGGAGGATCTGCAAGCCCGTAGGAACATCTACGCTAGGCAGGATTTGATTAATCTCACAGGGTATGGCATGAAGATTTCTTGACCTTTTCGTAGTAGCAATGAGTAGATTTCATCCACTCTTGGAGTCTTATATGGGCTGAATTTCTCAAGTGCCCAGCTTATTTATTTTTCTTGGATTATCTTCGTCATTTCCTTCCAGTCTTCCTTCATAGGCCTTTTAGGTTTTGAATTTTCAAGGTTTTTTTTGTTGATTTTTCTGCTCCTGGGAAGTGGTTTCTAAGCAGTAGAGAGAGCCTTTCTCCTTCAGTTTGGGTGAAACTTGGAATAGGAACTAGACACAGTAAACTTACCTAAAACAACCCTCATCAAAACTGGCAAACTGCTACTGTTACACAGGGCTAAACACAGAGGAGTGATAGGTTACTGGTATCTGAGAAACATCCACATAATATGGGCATATTCAACAATGAGCTCATCATCAAGAGAACATAAAACCAGCTCTCAGCAGAAAGCGAAAAGCCGGCATATTATCACACATCAAGGAACTGTTTGGGGTTGGTATTCCAATCCATTGTGTCGACATTCCTGAAATAAGGCCAGTATTCAACTTATCATCAGCAAACGATGTTAAGCTGCTGTTCACGCAAGAGAGAGGATCGCATCGATAGCGAATAGAAAGAAAATTGGGCCCATAACAGAGCCTTGTAGTACCCACCCAGTATTCTTGGCTCCTAAGGCTACCAACATAACTCACAACTTGCATCCTGTCTTTAAAAAAAAACTTTTTACAAGCAACATGAATTTTTTATCCATTCTATGTTTAATTGTATCAGGAGCATTTCATGTGAAACCCATTCAACACAGATCATAGAATATGGAATTAATTTATAATTTGCCATACACGGTAATCAGCTGTTAAAAGGCCTATAGCTATACAATTCGACGTACAAAGTCCTTTTTACACTTGTACTGACACTATTTAATTATAACGTAATATCATGCAACATGTAAAAAGTGGATATAGTTGTATCCTGTTTTTTAGCATTCAATTAAAATATATTGGCTTGAGGTACCTGTTGCTCAAGTTATAACATTCGGACCACCCACAGACTTCGACGTGAGATCTTGTCATCACAACTACCAGGCTTTGAACATTGCGGATCGTGTAACTGTACTTGCTTAATTAAAAATCATCTTTAGATGCAAAGTACACAGTAGATTCGTTGTTGTAATATTTGCTTTTCTTGTTGAAAAGCTTGCTGCGATTGACTAATTGTTGTGTCATTAATTTTCGCAGCGTAATTACTTGAACCACTAACCAGGTAACCACCAACGCCCGTCAGCACAAAAGATAATACTTATCACAAATACCATTTTTTGCACAGGACTATTCGCCGCCGATATCTAAGATTAGTTTGAGAGACACAGGCGTGAACAGGCGAGCCGAGATGAACGGCGACGATCAAATTACAAGTCGATTTCATAATTTACTATTCTTTTTTAAAAAGATAGTTCCTACTCACAGTAAGTTGTTTTGCAACGTCCGGATTTCGAGCCTTTTAGCTCATCATCAGGTTGAAGGACTTCTACAACCACGTCTCTCGACATGAATTGCCAAAGTGAACCCGCTGATACCTCCGCCAACGCGACGTTCCAATTAGCAGCTGATTTTTTTAATGGCGCNTTGAGTAACATCAAAACCAGCGAGTGTAAACTGACTCGTTCAACAATTATAAACTAACATTTATTTACATTCTGCACTTAAGGACTAACAGTTTGTTATACACTGGATGGAAATGTGGTTTTAAAATTAAGTAAGTCAACGAATTTAATTATTACAGTGCGCTCTCAGTAACTCGAACTAATCACTGCAGGGGGGAGTTCAGTTTTACTGAAAAATTCAGATTACAGAGGGTTTTAAAAAAACATACATATGTACAAAAAAATATTTCAACCCTCTCTTTAACTCTCAAACTCACTCACTCTCACTAACTCACTTACGCTCTCTCTCTCTCTTTCTTTCGGTCGCTCACACTCTCTCCTCACTCATTCTGAATCAAGGAGGATTGGAATGTACAATCATTTGAGTAAGTATCTGAAGTCCTTTTATCTCAAAAAACCACGTTAATTTCGGAATACTATTGTATAGTATGAATTCAGTGAATTTTGTCCGATTCCAAATTCTGTTGGAAGACCATTTGGGCGAAAATCGTTGTTCATTTGTGGTCCGCCCTTTCTCGCTGTAGGTCCCAGGACAGTCAGTGAACGATGTCTTCTCCGAGAGCCTCCAGATGACAATTTCAGACCTACAGCGAGAATGGGCGGACCCCGACCTGTACAATTTCGATCAAACCACGTTCAATAGAATCAACGAAATATTTTTGGCGACTCAAACGTTTTATAATTTAACTGATTTTATTATTTGTTTCAAAATAATATATATCAGGGGGCGTCGGTGGCCGCAACGGTTTAAGCGTTGACACGGCGTTCATCACTGTAAGGTAAAGGTCCCGGGTTCGAAAGCGGCGGCCCTACATTCGAACTCGATATACTTACAAATGGGCCTTTTTTTAAAAAAACACCGCCACCCCGAGGGTTGATATAACCTCTGCTGTTGCGAACCCTCGTAAAAAAAATAAAAAAAATAATAATATATATCCTCAGAATCTTTCTAGAATTTCACCTCATTCTGATCCTGGCCTGTTTCAAGATCACAGGAGAATTTAGAAAGACCGACATAAACAGTTTTGACATTTTACATCATTATCGCATAAACAAAGGCTTTCAAGTCTGATCGGTCGGTCTACCAACTCTGTCCCTGATCGATTCCAAAAGATAGTGCGAATTCAGGCAGACCAGGATGATCGTATAAACCGCGTTTTTTTGTTACTCAAAGTGAATCGTACAGATACATCTCTATTTCGGCTACAAGCAGTCAACAGAAAAAATCAAGCGTATCATGTATTTACAACTGGACATTGATTGGCAAACAATTGTGTTTAAACTATACTAAATCGTATATAAATCTAATACAAATATTTTAACTTCAATTTTTACAAGGTTTATTGCTAATTAAATAGAAGAAAAATGCATTTTCGTCATTTAATGGCTAGTTTATTTCAGCCAAGG